AATTCCAGCCCTTGGGAGGCTAAGGTAGAATGATTGTGGGTTTTAAGCCAGCCTGGGAAATAGTGAGTTTCAGGGTGCTCTGGACAATACAGCGTTACCCTACAGCCAAGAGCAAAGACGGAGAAGGATGCAGGTATGATGGGACAGGTCTGTAGTCCCAGCACGTGTACAACAGATGCAGGAGGATTGCCAGCCTGAGCTACATGGGATGCGGCCAGAGAGAGAGACAGGGAGGAAAAGAGGGAAGGGGAGGGAAGGCGGGAGGGGAGAGGGAAGGACGAAGGAAGGGAGGGGGCAGAACAGGCAGAGAGACAATGAGTCAGAACAGGAGCAGGAGCAAGACCAAGAGGAGGAGGCGGAGAGGGGCTGCTGGCCCTCAGGTGTTTCCTGCAGGAGCGGTGCCACTCTGGGTCTCCTAGCATGGCTCCCTCTGCCTCCTCAAAGACATCCTCTTCCCAAGGAGAGTTTCCATCTCTCAAGCCTGTGTTCCCAAAGCTCTTTCCTTCCCCACCACACCAGTGGGACAGGCAGGGTCTGAGCTGCTCTGGGTGGCTTGGCCAGGCCATGAGTCTAGTGCATATTGTCAGAGCTCTGCTCCACATGGGTGCTTATGTCACATAGTGTGAGTTCCACACCAGCCCTTCACCGTCCCCACCACATGTGACACATTCTTCTTCCCCATCTCACCTTCTTATATATGAAGTGTGCATACCACTCCCTGAACAGAGTGATTCTAGAAGGTTCCAGCAAGAGGGAAAGCTGCACGACCTGGCTCACAGCCCCAGTGACCACCGTGCTCTGCATCTACTCCTAGATCTCGGCTCCTTTTCCTCATCAGAGAAAGTGTTTCTCTCCTTTTGAAAGGGGGCAGCTCAAAAAGTCACCCGTCGATCAAGGCAGTACACACAGCACGCGCGGGCAGGCTCCTGCCTCTGCACTTTCCCCAGCTACAGTTTCAACCGTCTGCAGATCAAATACATGTGAGCAGAACCAGAAAGTTCCAGAAGAGGTACAATTTGCACCTGCTGTACCTGAATGACATACCTGGACCACACAAGGCAGCGATGTACAGAGGAACCTGCTGCGGCCTCCGGCCCTTCCCAGGCCCCTGCGTTTCCAGACTCATTAGGACAGAGTCGTCCATTTGGTGTCATTTATGCAGGGTTTTTTTGCTTTTTTTAAAAAAAATGTATTTGGTACAGGATCTCACTACACAGCTCAGACCTGAATTGAGCCTCCTATTTTCAGCCTCCCCAGCATGCCCAGGAGCCGGGCCGGTGTACCATGTGGTGCTGGGGATCGAAGGCAGGCGCTTAGCCCACTGCGCTGTCTCGCGGGCCCTCATTTGTGTATTGTAGTTGAGCCTGTGATCGCGGAATCTTTACTGGACACTTACAAACTCTTATTGGCATTACTCCATAAACAGTAAAATGCAACATTTACACGGCATGCCATTGCACCGGGTATCATAAGGACTCCAGAGGGGACATGAAGTTTTGGGAAGGCTGTCATAGCTTAGCCACAGTTCCTGTGCCGTTTTATATAAGGGCGTGTGCCTCTCACATCTGAGTGGGGGCGGGGTTCTGGGACCAGTGCCCGCAGGATTACCGTATGTGCCCACACCTCGCTCGAAACCCCCAAGTCTGTGCGGGACTCCCCAAGGTCTGCTGAGCTTTCCCTCCACAGAACAGGAGCCACGCTCGCGTCCTCCTCCCTGGGCTGCGTGTGCACCAGGATGGAGTGGAGTTGGGATATTGCTGTCTCTAGTCAACAGTTGTGAGCATGCAGTGGGCTCAGTGGTATCTGAGGGCTCATGAGGCCTCAAAATGCTTAAAATTGCATTTTAAGTTGGCGTTGGAGAGTGCCCCTCCTTTGGAGTTTGAAGCAGCTTTGCCAGGGAGTTGTTTGTCCATGAAAGATAGGAGTGCGGAGGTGCCGTGCGGCCATCTTGCCCGGCCTGCTGCTCCCGCTCTCCTGAAGAATTCTAGGCCCAGCTTCCTGCCTCCGCAGGCGGTTCTCAGCCACATGCATGGCCCTGTCTCGGCCTGCTTCTGAGTTTGTGTCCCTGCTGTCGCAGTCCGTGTCTCTCCCTCTCACCCTGCTTTCTGTCTTACCTTCTCCCTCTTCAGCCCTGCCAGCTTCGGGGGTGCAGCTTCATCATCTCCCCTGAGTGCTGCTTGCATAATTAGAGGTTGTGTCCGGTGAGGGCTTACTCCACTCACCGTGGAGTTTCGGTGAGGGCTCTGGCTTTTCCTGCAAAGCTGCCGCAGCAGGCTTTGGGCCCTGTGGGCGGCTCTACATAAGCCTCTCCTGATGGGATGAGAAGCTTTGCCTCTTCCGACGCTCCCAGGCTTCAGTCGGATTTATGTTTTTCTTTTCTTTCATGATTGCTTTCAGAATGCCTAATTCTGTTCTGAGAAATTTCTTACCTTGATAACTCCGCAAGCGCAGCCGTTAGCCGTCCATACATGCTACCGAACACTCCTTTGCAGCCTCTGCTGAACGGGCTGCGTGCTCGCGTGATGTGCGCTCGCTTGTGACGGGTACCGGGGCTGCCCAGCGTTTCCCCCACACATGACGCCAGCCTGGCGGCCTGCTCGGGGTCAGTCGGTACGTGCAGAGCCAGCCAACGGGGATAAGGTCTGTGGATGTGAACGCATACCAGCACGTGTGCCTGCACACGCACGCATGCACGCACGCACGCACGTACGCACGCACGCACGCACGCATGCACGCACTCCGTTCCTTCCAGACCCGCCCCCTAGGTGAGGTTCTAGGTTTGGAGTCAGTCAGAGAGAGGCTTGTATGTGTGGAAAGCGCTTGAGAAGCAGAAACTGCTAATCTGCAGGGGCGTATTTGGTCAAAGCTGAGCTTCTGAGGTGGTGGCTTGATGGTGTCTTGGTTCCTTCTTTGTCACTGAGACACTGTACGGACACCCATAGCTCGGGTGGACAGGCTCACTTTGGCTCACAGTTATAGAGGTTGCAGTCCAGTGTGCAGCCTCCAGGACAGAGCAGCATGGCGGAGGGGAGCCGCTCATGGTGCGGCATAAGAAAGCAGAGGAAGATGAAAGGAGGACGGGGAGGTGGAGCCTCCTGGGCCACGCCCCCACACCCGCCTCCTCCAGCCAGGCTCCGCCTTCCGACACCACAGTCAGCAGGAACCACCTCCGTGGAGGATCCTACGCTGAGCATCTGACTCCATGGCCCAGCCACCTCTCGGCAGCCCAACTCTGAGCACAGCCGGCTTTGGGGGGACGCCTGGATGTAATCCCTAGAGAGCACCGGAGAGGCCCTAATACGGTGAGAGCCACGCTGCCCTAAGGCTTGTGAGCAGCTCTTTGGTGACCTGCTCCCTCAGCCACTCCTGCAGCATACTCCTCCTGGCTGGCTACTCACCAGCCCCCTGCACCGCAGGTCCTCCTCCACTGAATCCTTGGATGCTGCTCTGTTCCATTTCGTTGGTGACAACACAATACTAAAGACTGGGTCGTTTAGAAGTAGATCAGAGTTTTGTTTGGCTCCTGGTTCGGAGCTGCCTAGGCCACGCATGGCATCCCCCCAGCGTCTGGTCAGGGCCTTCCTGCTACGTCCTCACGCGTCGTATGGTAGAGCGCATCAGTGGCAGGAGATCCTTCTCCTTTTTGTAAAACTCCTGTCACCATGGAGGCTGGGCCCTTCACTGTAGTTACTCCTGGAGCCTCAACCCTGAACGCCTGCAGTGTACGAATCTGGGATTCCCAGCTCATGAAGCTGTGTCAGGCACATTCATACCCTGGCAGCTGCCTTCCGTCTCTTGCCTAGAGCCCTGTGCGGTGAGTCCTCCACGCTTCTGCATCCTGTGCATGACAGCTGGCGTCCACGTGCTGAGCTGCCCGTTTCTGCACAGCCTTTCTTCCCTGGCTAGAGCGCAAGCCCTGTGAGGCCAGGAGTCTTCTTTTGCACATGCTTCTGAGGAGCTGATGGTGCACAGCCTGGCAAAGCCAGTGTGACAGTGGTGAGGAGACCAGTCGGCAGCACCGTACAAGTTATATCAGGAGTCTGTCTGCTGTAGTACTTCAGAAGGTTCTTTAACTGGAAACTCAGCAGGAAGGGTCACTAGGCAATTCTTGGTGGTTAACTGAGTTCTGTAATATCTTATACGTAATGTGGACTATGCAAATATTAGCGGTATTAAAGTCTCTAGCAATCCGTCTCTCCATCCTTACTAAGTGGACAGTTCTGTGAACTGTAAGGAGTGGTCGCCGAGGTGGGCCCATCTGGGGACAATCGCTGACTGCTTTGTGATGGCGGGCCTGTCCTCATTATCTGACGGCCGCCCTGTGTCTGCTGGGCACTGCGAGGCCTGCAGCTGCCAGGGCTCTGCTTGTGCCTCCGTAGCAGAAGGCCCGCCCGTGCTGGGCTAGGTGCCTGGCTTGCAGGCTGTCCTCTCTGCCCTAGTGCTGTGCTCTTGTCTGATTCTCTGAATTTTCTGATTTCCGGTTGTATTATTTGGGCTCTTGTGACTACCGATAAGCGCTGCTCTATAAGACAGTATCTGTAGATCCGCGTGTCCGGGACAGACACGAGGGCTCCGCGTCGCATTGCTTCCCTTTTGCCTTATTGCACATTGAGGAGGAGGACCCTGCTCCCCTGCTTACAGGACATGGGCTGGCAGAGGCGCACTGCGCCCGCGTTGGGACTTGTGGGCAGGCCGCGTCCCTTGCCGAGTCCGCCCTGCCGTCTCCCACTGCCGCTGCTCACACTGGCTGTGCCTGTGTGGTGCCCAGGGTGAGGCTCACCAAGCATTGTCTGTGTCGCGTGTTCTCGGGCTGCTGACCTTCGGTGCTGACTCTATCGTGGGGCCCCACTGTGTCAGGCCAGGCAGTGTATTAATCACTAACAAAGAAGGGCTGACAGGTGAGACGCAAACCCAGAGGAAACCCAAACTGATGGAAAGGCCATGAACCGCGTGGAAGACTCACTAACAGAATTGCCCGTCTCTTCTTCATTCTGTTTCAGGAATACCAAATTGACATATTCTTCGCTCAGACCTGGACCGACAGTCGCCTTCGATTCAACAGCACGATGAAAATACTTACTCTGAACAGCAACATGGTGGGGTTGATTTGGATCCCAGACACAATCTTCCGCAACTCCAAGACCGCAGAGGCGCACTGGATTACCACCCCGAACCAGCTCCTCAGGATCTGGAATGATGGGAAAATCCTGTACACACTGAGGTAAGAGGCCACGTGGCTGCCCTTTCAACCTTTCAGTCAGCACGTAACGTTGTACTCACGCTGCGGTACAGGATGTGAGTTCAGTCACATACACAAGGCACACCAGTCAGGTCAGGCAGCTAACACTTCTGTGCCCCCAGCAGGCAGCACTTGTGTATGCTTGGAAGTTTTTGGACTTTCCCAGGAATTTTGAAACGCATCATAAATTAAAGATTATTATACTATAAAACACTAATGCCAATTCTTGCTGCCATGTGGTTCTCTGCCTTGTGGGTCTAATTTTAGATCCTGAATTTAAATTATTGTTGACAGGAAACCCTGTTGTTACCCCTCAGTTGTACTCTTTCTCATGTTCAGTATACTGTATAGCATCCTGGAAAACTCTGCCCAGTGCCACGTGTGTGAGAATGAAAGCACGCGTGACCTGCAGTGAGCTCAGGACCCTCCCTTGCCAGGATTCACATCCGCAGGAAGATGGCTTTGACATTATCTTTTGTGCGTTTAACCTCTCGTGCGCACTCGGCTAGGAACATAGAGGTGGCGTGAGTCTGACTCAACGCTCGCTTGGCACTGTCTAGCACGAGCAAGGCCCAAGCCTCATCCCCAGCACCACCCCCAGGACCAGAAGCACATCTGGGACCACGGGGACACGGGGTGCAGTGGTCTTTCCCCAGGCGTCCCGAGCTGCGGGGCTCTACTCCACAGCCCTCCTGCGGGTCGGCCGGCCCTCACTGAAACCTAAAGAAGTGACAGTGGTGCTTCTGAGGATGGCTTGGCCCCGGATCCCTGCAGCAGACCAGTGGGAATGGAGCTCAGTCTGTCCCCAGCTCCCCATGCAGCTGCACTGCTGTGGCCTAACTGAGCGCAGGGCACCCCACACACTACACCACACCACCAGCGCCCACCTCCGGGCCCTGCCACTCATCCTGCAGCTGGAGCTCCAGAGGGCCATGCTGTCCCATCTCCCTGGATTTCCCAGAAGCGCTGTGCGCACCTCTGCTCTCACAGTCTGGTTCCTGTCCCCACTCCTCCCCCGTCCTTGAGGCTGCTTGTCCTCCTCCTGCCCTCTCTGCCTCAGCTCCTGGCCTCCACCACTTCCCAATTCCCTTCAGCTGAGGGCCTCCATCCCTAAGACTTCAAAAGCAGATTCCCACATGTGGAGCTCCGCCCCTTCTAAACTCTGGCTTCCTGGGGCCAGGCTCCTGGTGCTCTAGGCTGAGCATTTTACACTCAGCCTGGCGGGGGGCGGGGGGGCGGGGGTCACCCTGCCCTCAGTCCCCTGGCCACACTCTCTCCTCACCCGCTCTCTTCTGCACCCCACACTGGGCCACAAGTTTCAGTTACAGATGCTTGTGCTCCTGAGGAGAACCCTGGGAGTCCTGGTGTGCAGCAGGGTCCAGAGCATAAGTGTAAGTATAGATGACGTCAGCATCCGCAAAGACAGGGGAACGTTACAGTTCTGGGAAAGAACAGTGTTGCCCACAGGGAGTCACGACAGTAGCGATAGTTGTCAGAAGCCACAGCAGGGAGACTGGCTCACGAAATACACTCAAAGAACTGGGATCTATAACAGGCGTGTTCTCACTCATAGAGCAGGGAGAACGAGATTCTGGCAGGACGCTGGCCCTCAGAGAGCCAGAATGGAGAGGGGCTGGTCCCGGGACTCTCGGTAGGAACCCTGGCTCAGGCTTGGGGCCACCGCCTGCCCTCGAAGGACAGGGCGCTGGCTAAGCAGGAAGTCCCTGGCTCACGCGGGGATTGATTTGACATAATGCCCATGCCAGAAAACCATGCCAACTTCAAAGGGAGGAAGATTTCATTTAAACAGACTAAAAACAATGACTTACCAACAACAGTTGGTTTATTTCCTCCTCTCTGACTTGGCTTGGCTTTGTAGACACAGTTGGGATTTTACTAATTGCAGTTCTCTTTGCCACTGAAAGCTACAGCAAAATAAAATAAACAATTGAAAAGCGCCCACGTGGCTCTGCTGAGTTCAGGCAGGACGGGCCACCCGCTCCCGTGCTGCACGGCGCTGTGTGCCTCAGCCGTGCCGGGCCGGGCCCCGGTGGTGGCCCTGCAGTGACTGTGGCTCTCCTGCAGGCTGACCATCAACGCCGAGTGCCAGCTGCAGCTGCACAACTTCCCGATGGACAAGCACTCCTGCCCGCTGATTTTCTCCAGCTGTGAGTACCTCGAGGGCCAGACGCTGAGCGCGGAGGCCCTGCGGGATGCTGCCTTCGGGAAACCGCGCGGCCAGTGACAGTGGCGCTTACAACCGAAGACCGGTAGTGGTTTTAGAATTGGTGGCAGCAAAATTTGTTACTTGGGCTTTATATTTCAAAATAGACGACTGTGACAGAATGGTGAGCCGTGTAACCATGCACAGTACTGCTGACAGATTCACGATGGGGCTGGGGAGCTAGCTCGGCAGTCTAAGTGCCTGCCTGGCGAGCACAAGGACCCTGGTTCAATCCCCGGTACCACATGCCATGCCTGCCCTAGAACCCTGGGCACACTGTGCCAACCACCAAAATCGGGCATGGTGGCACACACCAGTAATCCCAACGCTGGGAGCTTGAGGCAGGAGGATCACTACAAGTCCATGCTTTGTAGTGAGACCCTGTGTCAAGTAAACAAATAAATAAGTAAATAAGATTTTTTTAAAAAATTAAATTCATGACCACTGACTTACAAACACTCTTATACTAACGAGCTATGCATATTATTTAGAAGTATACAAAAATGATTGTGCAGTATTTTCAGGTTTATTAGTTTAAGGACAGATGGTTTGTCTTCATCCAAGAAGATAAAATGTTTTCCTTTAAATGTAATTGTCTTACTGAGTTTTTCCAAGATGAAATTTTTACAATATTTTATCTTCAAACATTTTACTTTGATTTATATAACAGCTAGCAATCTTCTGCAAATTCTTAAAAACAATGCCTATTAAATGCAAGAGTAGTTATAAAATCCAATATCAAATACCAAATTTATTTGCATAGGAAGTTCTTGAAGTAAAGGTCGATATGGAATGATAGCTGTTGAATTTAATGTGGCACATTTAAATGTACTAATCACAAGTACTTCTGAGTGAAACATAAAAATTCAGTTAACTTTACTGGGTATTTTTAAAAATGATGTGCAGAACATTAGAAATAAATCTAATAAAAGCCAGACATTTTTATGAAACAAGGGATAACCATATGTTATAATTCACTTTAGGTTAAGAAAATTTGAGGCCTGTTTTTTAAAAAATTTTCTATACATTCTAGATAGAAGTCATTTGTCTGAAGGACAGTTGGCTAAAATTTTTTCCAATTTGTGGATTTTCTATTCACTCTTTTGGTGACTTATTTCGATGTGCAAAAACTTTTCAATAAGATGAGATCCAGCTGTTGATTCCTTGAAGTGCTTTCTGTGCCGTGTGGTTTTTGCTCCTAAAATCTCTACCTGCCCCTGTGCTGTCAAGATTCCTGCCTCCTTTCTCGTCCGGTAGATTCAATGTTTCTGTTTTAATATTTAGATCAATTGAAAGCAAAATTTCACTTGATGATCTAGACTAAGTAAATGTATTTTTATATAAAGATAGTTTAATTAGTTGAACCTGAACTTGTGCTTGCTGCCAACACCAGTGGTGGGTGACCAGCACGCACTCAGGCGGCTGTGAGACCCAGTAAGCTTTCGTGTGGAGTCCACTGATCTGGGTGTTACTTACTGAAAAGCTTTACACCCTGTGTAGCGCTCTGTGTGTGTGTGTGTGTCGGGCTCCGAGCATGGTGAGCTCTCACGGTTAAGTGGGAAGGCCCAGTCGGCCCTGCTGGTCTCCCAACTCACTGCTGCGCTGTGAGCTCCCCTCCTGCATGTGCTCCTCCAGGGGCTGCAATTCCACTCTCAGACGCTCTGTTTTCTGCTTTTTTAATCTCTAGTGCAATCTTGACAGCCTCTGATTTCTTCACCAAATTTTCAATGACATCTTTTTGCTTAAAGTTTCAGAGATGCCGAGGTCTTCATTGGAAGGCTTTGCACATTTGTTGCTTGGTTATTTACTAATTTGGCTTCACGTTTCCTGAGATCTTCTGTGTGGCTGAGTCTTGTATCTAGGGGGCTTCTTCTGAAGGCAGCTTGTTGTGCCTCTCCTGGTGACTAGTATCACCTCATTTTAATTTTCTAATTCTAATTTATTAAACTATACTATCACCCATCAGATCTACTGTCAAGCACACAGTGCCAGGAGCTTTAAACTCACATGAGTGACTCATTATTCTCCGTGTGAAATTTATGCTGAGGATTTCTTTTGTAAAGCCTATTATTGAAGTATATGCTTTATGCAATAAAATTCAGTGGCTCAGTGCAAAGTATAGGTGATGAGAATGGTCCAGGCCTTACACGCGGGGGTGTTTACACACAGACCGCTCTCATCACCTATACTTTGTTCTCTTTTGAGAAGAGAATACTGGGGATTGAAGCCAAAGCCTTGCACGTGCTAAGTGCCTGTTCTGGTCCTCAACGACACCTCCTTTGCATCTTTTCAAGTAATCACACACGCTCTGCCGCGCAGTCGCTGATTTTCTGTTACCGCAGATTAATGGTGCCTTTCAGTGCTGGGCGTTTCATGCCTGATCCTCTCACTCAGCGGAATGTCCCAAGACTTTCTCAGTTGGCACGTGTTTGGCAGCTGATTTTTCTGTCACTTCAAGTTGGAGTTTAAGCCTAAATACCTGCACCATATAGATGGTGTGAAGTGTAGCTACATCCACATCTTAGTGATAGGGGCTTGTGGTTATAAGTTTGTAGGGTGAAAAACACTATTTTGCTTTTACGTTGTTCCCATAGCCCAAGCTGAACAGGGCGCCTCCTCTCAGGGTGAGCGTCTATCAGCTCGGCCACCCTAGGAGCCAGCCTGGGTCCTTGTCCTCTTCCTGGCTCATGGGGACCCTTGAGAGCCCAAGACCAGGCAGTAAAAGCTCTTATCTTTTGCCCTGATGGTTTCCCTCACTCCCTCATGCTTTCAAATGCTCTTACAGGCACGTGCAGAGACCAGGGTTCGATCCCTGGGCACGTGCCAGCCCTGCCCCCAGGGTGCACTGAGCCAGTGCCTGAGTCTGGGCATGGTGGCACACGCCTGTAATCCCAGCACTGGGAAGGCTGAAAACAGGAGGATCACTATGAGTACGAGCTGCATAGTGAGACCCTGCACCAAATACGTGAATGAAAAAGAAATCTACTTAAACATTTTACAAAGCCCTTTAAGCTTTCTGTTCTTGGAGCTGATTGTCTGCATATGAGGTTTATAGTCCTGCTAGAAAGAAAAGAGGTTGTGTGGATTGTTTTAAATATTTTTACAGAAATAATTTATAGTCTTAAAACTCATATGACAAACATCACTGAAGTAAATACTACCTACCATCTTAATAATGCCTTTCTGGACTTAGTTAAGGATTAGCACGGAATCTAACCTTAGTTAGGAAAATGGTTTGTAAGCCGAACGTCATTTTTATCTGTGGCTCTGCTGTGCTGTGGTAGTGGGCTGGGCCGAGTGAATGTAGGCCCAGGTAGTGAAGGCCACGCCGGCAGTGTCGGGAGCGGGCGCTTTTAACTGTAGGCACGTCAGAGCTGACTTGTCTGAACGCAGTGACCCAAGTTACATTTGGCAAGAGGATGAAAGAAGTCATGTAAGAGCCGAGCTGGGTATTGCCCACCATGGCCCCGTGAAAACGGCCGAAATGACGAACATGGAAGCCTTCAAATTTGGATGAGGCTCGGAGCCACAGGAACTCTCATTCCTTGCTGCTGTGAATGCAAAATGGTTTAGTTAGGTGCAAAACCTCTGGGCAGTTTCTGACAAAATTAAATGTATTTTCACCTTATGGAGCAGAAGTTTTACTCTTTGGCATTTTCCAAATGAATTAAAAACTTAACCCTGCGTACAAGCACTGCAGCAGCAGCATGCACAATCGCCAGCATTTGGAAGCGACCGAGATGTCCTTCGTAAATGTCTTAGTCACTCACATCGCGGCTAGGACGAAGCACCGGCATTGCATTTTAAGGAAGAGGGGTTTGTTTTGACCCAGATTTCTAGAGGCTCTGGCCGTAGTTGGCTGACTCTGGCGGCGGCAGCAACAGTGTGGGAGAGGACCTGCCTTGGAGGAAAACTGATGACCAGCAGTGGCTGTCAGGAAGTGGGAGGCGGAGGGAGGAGCTCGGAGGGCCGCGTGCGCCACGAGGTCGCGTGCACAGTGACCTGCTCTTCCGCTCCAGCATTGCCCAGCAGCCCTGCTTCACTCAGAAGCCCCTCCCTGAGCACGACACTGAGCAGGGCCCACAGCAGTAGGCAAGGGGAGAAGTGACTGTGGGAGTCTCACCGGCTGTGGGAATATCATTCAGCACTAAAAGTGAGCTACTGAATGATGATGCAACACGCAGGGGACTTGAGTGTGTATCGCAAAGGAAGAGAATCCAGCTGAAAAGGCAACATACTTTTGGTTCCAGCTACATGACATTCTGAAAGAGACAAAACTGTGGATACAGTAAAGAAATCAGTGGCTTTCAGGTGGAGGCCGAGAGGGATGAACAGGTAGAGCACAGAAGGCCTTTAAGAGTGAATGTGCTCCGTGTGGTGCTGTGCTCTTGGGCAGGTGACACTGTGTGTTTGTCCAAATCCGTGCTCAGCACACACCAAGTGCGAGCCACGGGCGAAGGGAGGGTGATGTCTCAGTGCAGGGCCACTGATGACAACAACTTGCCACTCTCCTGGGGCCATGGAGATTGGGAGCCGCATGGGAGGCTGTGGAGGGGAAGGAAAGAGAGGCAGGGACTCTCCTTCTGCTCAGATTTTACAGTGTGCCTAAAAAAATCTAGTCAAGAAAATCTTGACATAGAGTAATAATCTACTCAAGTCATAGCTGAGAATATTCTGTAGAGCCATTCTGTCAGATAAAAATTACCTGACAATCCCAAAATATGTAACTGTGCATTAAAATATAAATTTATTAAGATGATCTTTTTATAAATGAGAATAATAACACTTCTGATGAAAACATGCCTTTTACCTCGGAGTTCTGGAGGGCAATGATATCTGTCTCGGTTCGATGTGTAGTCTGGGTCTACGTTACGGGTTTATAGTGTCAGGAGAATGCTGTCATGATGTGGTGGGGCTTGTCTTGCAGCAGCATGGGGCTTCTCA